TTCACTGGGCATGGTATAGCTCCATTTTAGGTATTCCAATCAGTTATAGGCAGAAGACGGACTTACAAGCTTTCTATGGTGATATTTCTGACTATTTCTTTCTCTCCCCCTCCAGTGTCTATTTTATAATGGTATGCAAGGGAAACCAAGATTCAAAAGACAGTCAAGCATCTTAACATTACACCCCCTCCCCTTTGCCCATTCTAACCATGTCTCAGTCCCTGTATCCTAGAGCCCTGTTGTTTCAGGGTTGTGCATACATCATTGTTTATCTCTCTCACTTAGCCCATGCAAACCTGCCTAATTATTTTCCCATCTGCCTTGTTCTTCCATTCACCTCCCCCTTCTTGTATATTGACTCCCTCCCTAGCACTGAAACTGTCCTGTGTCTATTTCCTACCCTGTGTTCCACCTTCCCCTCCCTCCCCTCACCCCACCTCCCATATCCAGGTAAGCAGCAAAGAATTCCCCTCACCCCTTTAGTATCCAGTATTTCTCCTTTTGCGACTGACTAATTTCACTCAACATAATGTCTCAAGGTTCATCCATGTTATGTGATAGCTTACAGCTTCCTTGTTGTTCTTCAAGGTAGTATAATATTCCATTGTGTGTATGTACCACAGTTTGTTTATCCATTCTTCCTATGATGGGCACTTAGACTGTCTCCAACTTTTTGCTATTGTAGATAGAGCTGCTGTGAACATTGGTATGCATATATCTACTCATGTTATGGCTTGTATTCCTTGTGGGTAAATACCAAGTAGAGGAATTGCAGGATTATAAGGTATTTTTATTTCCAACCTTCTGAATAAACGCCATATTGCTTTCCAGAGAGGTTAGACCATTTTGCAATCCCCCCAGCAATGCAGGAGCATCTGGGTTCTCAATTCTGTTCCGTTGGTGTGTGTGTCTGTATTCCTACCAGTACCAGACTGTTTTGAGTAATGTTGTTATATAGTAAGTTCTGAGATCAAGAAGTATGAGGGTTCCTACTTTTTGTTCTTATTCAGTTTTGGAGTTCTTTTTCCTTTCCTTATAAAGTTGGAGATTAGTTTTTCAATTTCATTAATAAATGTTGTTGGAATTTGGAACTAGATTGTGTTATATCTACAGATCATTTGGATAGTATTGCTTGATATGCTTTTCTGTTTATGTAAGTATGTTTTGTTTTCTTGCAGTAATATATTATAATTTTCTTTGTATAAGTCTTTTACATCACTGGTTAGATTTATTTCTAAAATTTTACCCTTTGGGGGCAATTGTAAATGGTATTGCATTCCTGATTTGCCTTTTTGAGTTAGTGTAGAGGAACCCAACTCATTTTTGTGCATTGATCTCCTTACCCTGCCACTTTGCTGAAACCTCTTATTAGTTCCAGTAACTTTCTTGTAGAATCTCTGATATTTTCTCTGTATAGGATCATGTCATCTGAGAATAAGGATATAGCTTCTTATCTATTCCATGACCTTTATTTCCCCTTCTTACCTTATTATCTGTCTAGGACTTCCAGTACAGTATTGAGTAATAGTGGTAATAACAGGAACCTTGCCTTGTTCCTGTTCTCAAAGGGAATGAGTTCAGTGTTTCTTCTTTGAGAATGATGTTGGCTGTGATTTTAATTAGGTTGAAGAATTCTCTTCTGTTCTTATTTTGCTTAGAGTTTCTATCAGGAAAGTGTGTTGACTATATCAAATGCCTTTTCTGCATTGATTGAGATGATCATGTGATTCCACCCCCTTTAAAAATTTATATGGTGAATTATGTTGATTGATGTTCTTATGTTGACTCAACCTTGCATCACTGGTATGAATCCCACCTGATTGGGATATTATTCTTTGATATGCTGTTGAATTTTACCGTCGATAACTTTGTTGAGAATTTTTACATTTACGTCAATGAGGGATATTGGTCTATAATTTTTTTTCAAATGATATCTTTGCCTGACTTCGGTATAAGGGTTATGCTGGCTTCATAAAATAATTTAGGGCGTATATGTTCTTTTTCTAAGTTCTGGAATACAATTAATTACAATTTTATTTGAATGCAATTGATGTCAGCTCCTATGAATGTTTGGTAGTACTCTCCAGTGAAGCCACTTGGGTCATAACTTTTTCTTTTTCAAAACTTTTTATTGTGAATTGAGTAAAAGTTAATAGAACAAACCATCAGTATTACATTCAGCAAATCATACACTTTGTTTCATCTCAATACTTGCAATCCCCTCAATGTAACTTCTTTTATCCCACTTCCTCCTCGTATTTCTTGTTTTCATTCCTCCTCCTTTTCCAACTCTTCTGAATTTTGTCCTTCGATAATGTCGTCCTTTTCACCTTCAATGGTTGACCATTCTATGGTGTTCATACCTCACTAGTGTTGTCGTCTCCCTATATTCCTATCTGTTGCTTGGTTAAAGATTGAACCATGAGGGCATGCTTAGTTCCAGACCAGAAGGGTGAGGTTCCACCAGTCTCCATCTGACCAGTAAATCTGGTCTGTTTTATGATTTTAAGTTTTATTCCACATTTTCTCCCATTGTATCCAGAAACTCCTAATGTGAGCTCTTTCAGAGCAGTTGGTAGTAGTAGCTGGGCATCATCCAGCTTTTTTGGTATCAGAGTTGCAGAGACTGATGCTTATGTAGTCTATATTAGTCCATTGGACTAATTGTTTCCAAGTCACATCAATTTTTATCACTTTTCTTTCTTCCAAACAGGGATAATCCAATAGTTGTACTTTTGATAGCTGCTTATGGCTTTTTATTTTATTTTTAATTTAAGGTTTTTATTGTGGATTGAGTGAAAGTTTACAGGGCACACCATCAGTTTCACATTCAACAGTTCATATAACTTGTTTGATTACATTGATTATAATCCCCTCCATATACCATCAATTAAAAGTATTTCTCTTTATCCACTTTGGCTTTTTTTTTTAAAAACATACTGACAAAAATCCCCACTCAGGCATATATAATAAATTAAATCTCCAAAGGGTACATTCTGCAAGTCTGCTCCTGGCTACCAGCTCTTAGTCCTTCTCTTCTTAGTTGATGAATCTAGAGTCCTCAGCCACTCCCCCTCTCCATGCCCCCATCTCTGCCTCCATCTCTGGCACTGCTGCTTCTCTGGATAAGGTCCCACATTC